ATGAAAAAAAGACTCATATGAAAATTAATTGCATTGAATCTCTTTGATGAACATCTAACCAGAGTAAGAAGACAAAGTTAACTTTGAAGGAGTCCTTTGAGTGTACTCCAAAAGCCCCCCCTGCCAAAAGCCCCCTTGGTGCAAAAATTGGAGATTACAGGTATTCCTGTAACTCTTCATGGTAAGCTGCACCTTTCACCAGCAGGCCCAGCACAAGGACAAGTACCAATATGTTTTTAAGTTGAGTATATAAAGGGATTCTTCACCTGCGGTGGTCATCAGTGATTCTTTGAATGTCAAAGCATCATCACTTGGTGACTTCTGCAAAATCTAAAGTTCACATTGTTGGTCCAATGGCTGGTGCACATCATATCAAAAATCAGAAGGGCAGTCAAAAGGAATATTACAATGGCTATTTAGAAGAATATGACATGAAGAGCATCAGTGACAGTGAGCAAGAGGCAGCAGAAGACAATTTTGAAGATGATTACTGAACAGTCCTTTTGAGGACCAATGAAACCAAATAGCCCTTCTCAGGACCACCAAACACTATTATGAAACTTGCATCTAATTATAAAAAAGTTGGGGGCTTTTGGCAGGGGGGGGGGGCTTTTGAACAAGGTGGGCCTTTGACCTGAGGGGCTTTTGGCATGGGGGCTTTTGGTTGGGTACCAGTCCTTTCAATGGTATAATCTTCCTGCCAGTATCTGTCACGAATAGGCTAATAATCTTGTTCATGGAGACACTTTATTGCTGTCTGTTAACTGCAACTAGGCGACCTTCAAGGATATTTGCATAAAGTACGATGACTGATACTATATTTGTCTCCCTCAATACAGTAGGTCTAACATGCAATCGCTCACTTTCAGCAAGCTTGAACCGCAATTCAAGGAGGCACTCTCTCATCAACGACGTTAATCATCGTCAGCTGTGAATCCCATTTCGCCTCCTTTCCCAGAGACGATTCATCCATTAAATCAATACAAAAGTTTTTTTCTTTGTTAAAACTCTCAGAGAATTAGGTCCTAAAGAGCCTTGTGCCCACCCTTCCAAGAAGGCTCAAGTAGGGGTACACGCTGGGCCACCCTCAAGTTAGACATATCCTGTGTTTTCACCGATTCTTTTCGGGCCATGAAGACGACGACGATGAGGGCCATGGAAAAGGTGAAATCGGTTCTTGCTCCATCTCCTCCCCCTCAACCTTATACCTGTACAATATAAAAGTGTATCCATCGTCGTGGTGGACTTCACACTGGGAAAAACGCTTGTTATCAGCAACTTCCGAACGCAATTACCTGTCTGGGTGTTATTACGAATTTTCTGCTTTGTGCTGGCCAACAGGAAGCAAACCTTCTCGGCTTGATTATCCCTGGAAGTTTATCCCAGAAACCCGGCACAAGAACCTTAGAATCAACCGAATGCGTGTTGAGTGAGAAATTTCGTGAATTTAAATTTATCTCCTTGTCTCGCTCAGTATCAATTGAAAAAAACTTGAGTTTGCGTTTCCTTTCCCGAGAAAGCGCACTTTTGACACAGGATACGAAAAATATGTGTGTTTTTTTTTAATAGAAATTTGAGACTATTTTTTCAGCGTCTTTATGTCCTTCTCTGAAAGAAATATTCATCTAATTCTGCTCAATACTCAAGTAAATTTATGACCAGACAAATACTCAACTTGACGCCATACCGATCTTGAAACTTGACTAATCTAGGAACTAATCTGTCACGAAATAACCTGGTATAGGACAACATTATTAAACAAAATTTAATCAAGTACCTCGTACCTTTGAGTAAGGCACAAATCGGAATTCTTCAGCCTAAAATTTGGATAAAAATGTTTCCCCCAGTAAGACCACACCTTTTTAGAGGCTGAAAATTGAAATATTTTCAAAAAAAAGCATCAGAATTTAAATGAATTCTACGGTTGAACTTTAACTTTTAATCGTTTCCAGTTTTAAATTGTCTGTTGAAATTGGTTCAAAATTCCTATAAGGAATTGAGTATGAGGTGCACCACAGCTTTAAAAAAGTATTCAATGCTATACTAACCTTTTGTAAAGGCAGCCCTATTTTTTCTTCAAACTTACAAAAATAAGTTGCGAATGGTACTCGAGTAAATATGGCAATTAGCATTTCTTCAAGTTTCAATGCCAAGATTTAACAAAAATTTTGGAGTAAAACTTTCATAGGAAACCGACACAAAAAACACTTATAATCTACCTATTTCGTTACCATAAAAAAAACTCAATGAGTTCAACTGATTCCCAAATTAATTGAAAATGGAAGTTTATTATCACGCAGCCGAAAGCAGGTATCAATTAACTACCAACTCACTAGTTCAGATCATTAGTTAAAAATTTTAAATTTAAAACTCAATGAGTTCAACTGATTCCCAAATTAATTGAAAATGGAAGTTTATTATCACGCAGCCGAAAGCAGGTATCAATTAACTACCAACTCACTAGTTCAGATCATTAGTTAAAAATTTTAAATTTAAATCCGAACGTTCTGCTGGCCTCCAACGAGTTTTAAAAATTTTAAAATTTCGTTATATACAGTATACTTGTAGTATGCACTCACAAGCACCAGTCATCAATGCATTCATGGAAAGCCATTCAAAAACCGGCAGTCTGGGTATTATTTCGTCCCGAAGGCTATAAAAACGAAAATGCAACAGGCATTGTAATGAATAATGACACATTGGTGAGCGGAAATTTCAACGTCTTGTCAGGATGAACCCTGTCATTTTCTCCGACCCTGAACTCCCCGGTACTCACGGAATTTTCCTTTCGTGGTCTTTCAGAGCTTCGAACCAGTCTTTCCTCTCTCTCTATCTCTCTCCACTTCTTTCTCCGTACTATCTTCTTTATATATTATTTTCAATGAAATTAATATGTTGTTCGTCAACTTGCAACGAAAACGCGACGCATCATCAAAACGCGTCGGCTCATGAATAAGCAAACAGGTCTCCATTCCTCGAGAACTTTTGCGCAGATGCTTCGTGTAGCAATCAACAGAAGGGAGAGAGAGAGAGAGAGAAATGCATATACAAACAGAAGATAATTTGTACAAGCCAAAAAGGAAAACGACTTGAAGAGAGAACGTTTGGGTGCAGATGAATGAGTCCCGAACTTATGAATGGAGAAAACGAGGTGATGAATGAACCGCGGAATGTGGGGGGCTTCAAAGTGTTTCTTTTCCAGCCGCAAAACTTCGCCTTCAGGCCACTGAAATCATTTCCTCCAAACCAATTTTTCCCCCCTCTCTATACGTCTTTGAAAGAATATCACGATAACAACAACAACAAAAAAAGGGAGGAGAGAGAGAGAGACCTGACACGTCTGTGAATCGTGGTCAATTGGAGCAATTTCTGTGGAATGTGGGTGATTGTAGTGTGACTGCAGGAGATAATGAAGGCAGCGGGTTGGATAATCAAGAAGAACTTGTTTACTGCTCATCGTGTTTTGTTGGGCATTCCGCGGCTTTTTTTTTTGCACTCAGTTCTATACCCCTTTTTGATTTCGCTGATGTGCCGTTATTAAGAAAGAAACACGAAAAGAAAAATCGCACGTAGTACATGAACTTCGATCACGCGAGAGGAAACTTGAAAAGACAAACACGTATTTCACAGCATAACACAGGTCGAATACGTTAACGTTAGACAGTTACGGAATTTAAAAATGTACAGTACTGTATTGCAGTAAAGTACATCAGGGTATATACAATTCCGTCAATTTCGAATAAAATTCAGTCAATTTCGAATAAAATTCAGTCAATTTCCGATGAAATTCAGTCGATTTCGAATCAAATTCTGCCAGTTTCCAATAAAATACGGTCAGTTTCCAATAAAATTCAGTCAATTTTGAATGAAATTGAGTCAATTTACCAATAAAATTCCGTCAATTTCAAATAAAATTCAGTCAATTTCCGATGATATTCAGTCTATTTCGAATCAAACTCTGCCAATTTCCAATAAAATACGGTCAGTTTCCAATAAAATTCATTCAATTTCCCAAAAAATTCAGTCAATTTCGAATAAAATTCATTCTATTTTCAATAAAATTCAGTCAATTTCAAATAAAATTCAGTCAATTTCAAATGAAATTCAGTCAATTTACCAATAAAATTCAGTCAATTTCGAATAAAATTCAGTCAATGTCCAACACCGACAAGGAATTCCGACTCTTATCAAATTACTTTGTTTACTGCTAATATTTTGTGGGCATCCCGCTGTTTTTTTTTTTTAATTTCATTTGCCCTCCAGTCCTACCCCTTCTTGATTTCGATGATTAGCCGTTATTAAGAAATATACACGAATAAATGTCACACTGAACCTGGACTTTGATGTCGCGAGATTTAACTGAAAAGACAAATGTTTCAGATCCACTCGTGGAATACGTAACAATTTGAAAAAAGTTACGCAGCTGAATAGGGGCTGTATAATATTCAGTAAGTTCGAACACCAACGAGGAATCCCCACTCAAATTAACTTGTTTACTTGTTCGTCTTCTTTTTGGGCATTCCGTTATTTTTCTCTTCTTATTTTTTGCCCCCCCCCCCCCAGTCATCCCCCTTCTAGATTTTGCTGATGTGTCGTTATTAAGAAAAAAACCGCAAAAAAAAACTCGCACACTGTGCATGGATTTTGATCATGCGAGTATCGGCTGAAAAGAAAAATACTGAACTGTATTTCAAATCCAGACGATTCTATTCGTTAAAATGAAGAAACACACACAATTAAATATTTACTGTATCATATATAATTTATAGGGAAATCACAAAAATATTACCCAAAGAAGAACCCAACGAACAAATTTCCCGCGTAAGTTGCGAATTCTTAGACACCTTATTTTGCTACAGAATTAATCCTGTTTGTATTTTAAAAGGGGATAAAAATGCTTCAAATTGGACAGTTTAGAAAAATTATATAAATCAGTGCTGCCATCGCCTATTTTATCACTGACCGTCGAACACGTTTGAAATACAGGCGAACATAAAAAGTCATGTCACTAAAGCTGCATAAAACGGAGACTTAGGCTTGACCTTATCAATCACTTCACAGAAACCTCCAGGACAAACTGGATCCCAAAATTTGTTTCCCGGAACATGGCTGTGTGCAAGAACATAGGGAATGTTCATCAGGTCCGGCTCTTCCAAATACGCCCTCAGGTAACAATACCTTTCTGGATACAAAGTGGCTAAAGGAAAAAAATCAAAGAAAGATTGGGAACAGTAGCAAAAGAATAATAATTATCTGATCCTGGAAAACAAACCTTTGATGAATGCTACGAACTGACCGGCAACAAAACTTCGGAACGCGAACTTGTCTGTTTCCTTCTTCGTGGCGCAAAATCTGATCACCTTTAATGTAGAAGAGCGCATTAAAAAATTAAATTTGAATACAAATCATCAGTTAGATCTTTACCTGATTGGCACCTTCGTAAAAGGGATCCAGCACATCTGCATGACCGTAAAGCATCGCAACGTTGTACCATTTTGGTCCAGCTGACCCCAAATAGTACCTTTCGTTGCTGAACTGAGGTGGCGCACAACCAGGAAAGAAAGGAATGTTCCAACCTGGGTTTAAAACATTCACTTAGATGTCGCCACTTTCCAAATTTTCGAAACAGTATTGCAATACAGTAGTTAAAAATTCTCAAGCAGACCCACAGAACATGTACATTTTTGAAAGCCATAAAATATAAAATTTAGATTTTTCTGAAGCATAAATACTATATATATTTAAATTTTGCAACGAGGATGACGAGGAGCGGGACATTTAAGTAGACGACGATTGAATAACAAAGATGAAATCCATCCCGAACAATTGTTTTTGCCATACTCAGGAACGATTGAAATGTGTTCCTGTGCATGTGCTAAAAGAAATAGCCGAGTGGAAAGTTATGCATTGGAATTTTTTTTTCTGGAGTAACGTACTGTTTGGGATGTTCTCAAAGGAAAATGGAGGTGCATCGCGTGCATAGAAATTTTACCAGATGAACTGGTTTAAAAAAAAAAAAAATTATGTTCTCCAAGACTTGCAGAGATGATAATAAAATTTTAGCCTGTCAACTACATGCACGTCACAAATTATTAGATTTTTACGCGGTTCAAGGGGCGCAAATCAGAAAAGTTCAAAAGATTCTCTCTACGACTATTTTCTCTGTATAGATAATTTTACTTTGGGCTCCATTGGGTTTCTCTCCCCAAATTGCAGCGGTTCCCTACAACGAAATTCAAGAGACCAAAAAAAAAAGTTTTTAAAGAGAATTTCGTTGTAGAGAGTGTAAAAAAAAAAAAAAAAACTTCACATTGCATTGATGGAAAGGCTTTGAAAAAAAAAAATGCTTACCAGGAACAGGATCAAGCCCAGCCTTGAGTACAAACAAAGGCAAAGCAACTGGGAAAACAAACTTGCCCCAAGTGCTCGGCACAGTGAAATCCGGGATGAACCCGAAGGGGTCTCTCCCATCGACCGGGTTCACGAGCGCGACCCCCTTGAAACCCAGTTTGCACTTTGACAATCTCAACATGGAATATCCCACGTGAGCCCCAGCACTTTGCCCTCCCAGGATTTTCCGAGACCAATCAATGCTGAAGTGATCCAAAGCATCAATACGGCGTTTGTCGCTCGATTTGAATTTCTTTTTCACCTTGTACTCCAAGTGCTTTTCGGACCATTTCACAGTCTGCGAATTTCGAAAAAGAAAATCGTACCAAATATCCCCTTTTTTAAGGACGACTTCAGGAATAAATCGCGTACCGTTATTCCTTGGATGGCCCTGATTGTTGGGTCTTGGAAATCTGTCAAAATTGAGAGTCTCCAAGGTGCGACGACCACAATCCCGTGACTGGCAATTCTTTTGAGCACTTTCTTGTACGTGAATGCAGGTGCAACAGCTTGAAAAAAAATAGTACCTTTTTAGCTGAGAGAAGCTTTAATTACCAGATTTTGATGCCAAATCGAGATTTGAAACGAAGAAAAATAAAAAGAGTTAGGTGACTAAAAAATAAATAAACTGGTGTGATTGGAACATGGACAAGTGTACAGTTACAATAACGGGAGCCACGACCTTCTACCCAGAGATTTAATTAAAAGATCGACATTCTTATCGAAGTCCAAGTTGCAGGAGACCAAACTAATCCAAAATACAAGATAAATTATCATACATTGTAAAAAATATATATAAATATTAGAGAGAAGAGACCAGAATTAAATTCAGACTTTTCAAATTCGAAAGAATTTATTAGAAATTATTGAGAAATTTCAAGTCAATACAGCGCCATCAAAAATGACGTCGAAGTAATAGGGTCACTTCAGATTTATACTGAAACACCTCCGAAAATAAATGTAACAGCATATTGACCTCTAACCTGGGCTCCTGGCTTTCAAGCTTAAATTTAATCTTTGAATGGGGGAATAACACAAGGCCAGGGGAAGGGAAAAAGGCAGCCTTGAATATTTAATTTTTTTCATTTTCAACTGAATTTTTTCTGCAGAAAATAAAAAAATATGTGAGGATTTTCCCCAACTTTGCCCTGCACACACTGTCATGGTTTTTTAAATGACATTCATGATTGCACCCAAAATCAGCAAAAAAAAAGTCTGACTTTGCCAATGAAGGGTTACATTTACTTTCAGTCATAATCCAAAACAAGCAAATGTGCTTTTCTTTTTAGGATTTTTTCCATCAACTGTGTGCAGTTTAGCATGTGTGCTTATTTTTTGAATTTTAGACTTCTTTTCAGGTCAAAAGGTAGATTCCATGGGACTCTCTTCTGCAAAGTTATTTCATGCATTATAAAATCAAGATAATTATGTATTTATATTTAATAATTTTGAAAGGGTTAAAAAATGTTTGTAAAAGACTTCAATTGGTTAACAGCACTTTGTTTTAAACCGAATACCATATGACACGGTGTGTTCGACTAAAAAAACATCGTTGTTCAATGAGATTACAGAAATTAACCTAAAAAAGGGGGGGGGGTATTCAATCTGCCAAAAATTTTCAGCACTCACCTTGGAAACCCGTAAAGAAGAACATGACGGGAAACACTCCTTCGCCGATCGGAAACCAAACCTCAACATTGAACAGCAACCCCGGAGTGAATTGAGAACCTTTTTTAAGCATGGGCTGGGCCTTGAGCGGGGTAAGTATTTGTAAAAGTGAACTGTTTCTTAAGGAGCCTAACGTCCTTCGGTTTAAGGTGTTCTTTTATTAAACCCAATCTTTGTGTAGCAGTGAAAACGAAGTGACCATTGCGCTACTTCCTTCCGAACCCGACTGAGTTGATGGACAAGGGGTTTCAGTTACCCGACGAAGCTGCAGATCACGTACACTGGGTTCGGTTACGTACATGGAAAATCCTTCCGTCAATGTTTAACATAACAAAGTGCCAATAATCCTCTAATTCAATAAAGATATATTTCATCCGTCACTGCCAGGGAATCTCTTATTTGATATCACCGCACTTTCCCTCAAATATTCGCTATTGGAATCTTTGCAAAGAACACAAAATAAGTATAATGTATCCATGATGTGACGTCTTAGCATATTTGACCATTATTTACCACGTAGGATAATTTCACACTTTTGTCTTAAACAAATGAAGCTGACAACGCAATTATTCGCCTTTCGCCGAGAAGCAGAGAAGAAAAGGAATGACTTGCAAAACATTTCTCATTCGGTTCATCGTCGATATATTTGCCCAAAAATTAAAACAACTAAGAAATTTGTCGTGCCAAAAAAATCCTCAGAATCGACTCTCTTGAAACAAAAAACTGGTCCGATTCGATCCCAACGGAACGTGACATAATCAACGATCGAAAATGAAACAAATACGGTATAATAAATAACAAAATTTCCACTCAGAAAAAACAGATAAAAATACAAGCGAATTTTCTCATTTCTTATAATAACCATCAATGGGTTTAAAGGCAGTGTATTCGTAAAGATCAGGTCCTCCATAACCATACAGCAATTTTCCACGACCGTATTTGTCGTAGTATGGGTAGCGGATCTTTGACCTGAACAAGGATTTCGAATTAAAATCAAGACATAAATAAATAAATAAAATGAAATAAAATCGGAAAACTCACTTCCAATAATATGGATACAACTTATGGACGGATTTCACTGGACCTTTGCCTGCTGCTTCTGTATTCTGTGGCAAAATGCTCATCAAGGTCAATATCAGCAACACGAGCATCAATAAACACCAACTCAATTTTCTTCCGAACTGAAAAATATAAAAAATTAAAGTCCTGCTTCCCATTGTGAAAAACAAATTCAGCATGAAGAATCGGGCACATTTTCTGTGTCTGAAAAAAAAATCGAGCAGAAAAAGATCCTTCCAAAAATTCAAAATGTTTTCTTTTCGGACTCACCGCAAATAAATGTCGGTCACTTGGCTTCATAGTGACTTCGGATTTTCGAGACCTGTTGAAATTAAAAGAAGCAGGCCTTAAAATATTTTCACCTTTTGGATACAAATTATTATGAAGGAAAAAAACATGAAAAAATGACAGAATGATGAGAAAAAAAAAACTTTGAACGAGCAGACAGCCAAAACAACAGGATGTCGGTGGTCTTACAGTAGTTGGTAAATTTCATGATATTTATACAAAACAGATCTGCTTTTCTCAGCCTTTTAAAATGTACATCATGTCCACATCGATCTAGATTATAAAATTCTGACCCACATGAATCTTATTGAAAAAAAGAAAGAACTAGAAAAATATCGAAAGAAAAATGAAGAGAGTGGAAAGAAAGAAAAAAGCTGCTTTGTCATGTGTGACGCGACTCCATTCAAAACTGCTTCTATTCAAACCACAGATGACCCGAGAAACTTTTACGTCCCAGTTTCTCTAAAAAAGATAAACACACAATTTTCTTCAGGCTACAAATGGGATTTATATTCAAGCAATAAACATATTATTTGAATAACGTGCGTCTTTTACTTTTATTCAACATTTCAGCTTCGAAATATTGTCAGATTCCTCACATTTTGACAGTTATCAAATGGCAAGAACTGTACATGAAACACAGACAACACATGCAAAGCGAGAGACTTAAATATGCAGTAGAATCTCATTAGAACGAAGCATTTGAGACGTTAGAAAAAGCTTCATTAAAAACGAAAATTCGTTTAAACAAAATTAAAATTTCATGGCGGCTATTCGACAGGGACTTAAAAAAAATTCGTTGTAAACCTTAATTTGTTACAACGAGACTCGTAATTAGATTCTATTAAATGGTGAACAGTTTTTTTTTTTTAAAGAAACGTCACACTTGTGAAATACAGGTATGCGCGAAATATTCAAACTGCAGAATAGATAAACATTTTTAAAATCCTGTTCAAATTTTTCACCATTATTTATTACACTCGGTCACGTGCTGTACCAACGTTACAGTCTGATAAAATTATTTGCTCTTATTGCAAAATCACTCATCACATGAACAATTTTTACATTATCCAACTTTTCGGCATTTTCAGTGGAAACTATTATTTTTGCGTCGACGGCGATGAACCGAAAATATAACTGCACTCAGTTTCCTGCCGACTGCACGTTTCGTTTCTCAAGATGAAGAAAACACTGTGTGCTTGAAGGTCACTCATACTACAAAAGTGTGTACCAATCGAGTCCTTGAATTTTATTCTTGCATTTATGCAAGTCCAAAAGCAAAGGAAAAACAGAAACAAAGTTGACATGCAGAGCGTCGGTTCGAAACTGTTGCGGGAGCTTTTGGCTCCCGTTGCCCGAGGGAAGACCAGGAGAAAGTGAAAGGAACTATGATGTAATTTCCGGGATTTTTCCAGCTTTATTTTTTTCTTCTTCTCTTTCTTCTCTGCCCCATGAAATTCAAGACAGCAACGATTCCAGAAATAGTTCTGCGCTTGTTGTCTTCCCTGGAGGAATCAAATGCTTTAATATCATTGCCTTTAATTTTCATTCGCTAAAATTTCCGCGACCTTAAGTGATGTTCCTTCCTTATAAAGTCATCAGTGTCAAGACAATTTTAAATGCCTGCTTGATCTTGAAATCATTCGCATTTTGAGTTTAAAAGAAAACGAAGTGTTCTATGAGATTTAAAATATTTTAAAGATGAACTGTGTCAAAAGCATCAAAACTCGCCACGAATATCCTTCGCGTTTTTGAAGACAAATCGCGACGAAATTGGTCAGTCACGATGTTTTAAAATTTGAATGATTGAAATTCACTAGAATACTTCAATAATACATTTATTTAGCGTTTTTTTGGCATCTTTTGAATACTGTGCTCGAAATCTTTGAAATTTACTTGTACTGTATAAGAATGTTCGAATCATGCTTCAATTTAGAATCAGGTCATCTTCCTGCAGGAATCATCAGAGGCATTGTTTATAATCAAAGACAGAGATTCATTATTTATTATTCGCCAAAAAATAAGCAAATCTGTAACAAAGGACAAAAGACCACGAAGACACACAGTAAAAGCACGAAATTTTCAGGAACAATAGACGTCATGGAAATGCCTGACGACGTGAAAAATTCCATTTCGTCGGCCACGATTTCAATAAATACTGCTTTCGTTGTTTGGTTCAGTGCTTGTTGTACTGATGTTTGACAACAGAGGAATGTGCTCCATAGCCATGATGAACAGAGTGAGCCAATGAGTGACCCTTTTGGCCATAGCCATTGTCATGTTGGACATGGTGAACTTTGGCGTATGTGGGCTCGTGATGGTAGCCATGAGAACCATGAGTGTATGCTGTTGAAAGGAGAAAAAAAATAATTGCTAGATTTTAGAATACTCTCACAATGATTTTTAAAATTAAAATCCTAGTGCAGCGAAGCCATTGCGGCCTGAAGAGAGCTTTCTTTTTTAAATTCATCATAAAAATATTGAAGTTGAGCATTGGACGGAAATGTAAAAAGATTTTGCTGCAAACAAGATTTTTTATAACGAGATTTGTTTCAACAAAATTCCACAGGGGTTCCTCGATTGGGTTTAAAGTATCCATTGATGGATGTGACATTTGCCTTCTTTAATTAATTTGCGGTATAGATTAAATATAAATCTTTGTATAAATTTTACGTTCTGTTTGATCATATGATTCTGAACAGAAAAGATTTCAACCTTTGGATTCATATTGCTACTGCAGTACTTATACTGTACTTACTGTGTAAATCCGGTACTAAATTTTAAAAAATGCCAGGTGGTCTGCCAATAATCTTCCATCCCATCAACTCACGTACAAAGAGGTTTTGAAATTATGTTTCCTTTTAGCTATTCCATAAAAATGAAATTGATTTTTACGCACCATCCTATTTGAGCATTTATTATTCAGGATATTTTTTTACCAGTCCATAATGGCATTTATAGCTTTACTATACTGCATTGAATTCTGCTGACAACAAAGATACTGAGACCAGGAAAAACTTCAACATTCAAGAAATAATAATTCAATATCAAAAATGAATTTGCCATGAACAATAATTTTTCAAAAGATTTGTCGTTATGAGATTTTATTGTGGACGTGTTATTGTTGCTTCTTGTGGGAATGAGGAAAAAAAGAATAATATCTCTAGAATGAATTTATGATTCCCCCCCCCCAAAAAAGCTCATTCATTTATACTGCCCGCAATCAACAACAAAGAGAGGGTATTTTATTAAACATAAAACATTGACTGCGGGTTACCTGGTTGATGATGGCTATATTAAGTAACACAGTATTAAAGTCTGCTTATTAAACTATATATAAGACTAAATTAAAATATGCTAACAACAAACAGATTGAGGCCAGGAAAACCCCCAAAAAGATACAAATAATAATAGCTCAATCCCAAAAATGCATTTGCCGTAAACCATACTTTTTTGCAAGATTTTTCTTTATGAGATTTCACTATGGTGTTATGGGTATTGCTTCTTATTGTGGAGCGGAGAACAAATAAATCAGATGATTATCATTAATTTATTTCGTTTTCTTAAAAAACAATTGTTTCTTTATACAGCTTCCAAGGAGAGGTTACTTTATAAAACTCAACGTAGAATATTTTATCGGTTATAGTCTACCTGGCTGATGATGGCCATGATGACCATAACCGACGTGCTGGTGTTGTTTGTAACCCGTGCTGTAAGTCGGGTGCACGGGTGTCAAAACCGCGTGGTGGCCATAAGCGGGTTCTCGGTGATGATATCCGTAACCCTGGTCAGCATGGTACGGGGTGCTTGCGTAACTGCGGTGGTGACCATAACCCAGGTCAGCGACAGCAGCACACACCACGCCTGACAGGACAAGGGCGACGAAAACCTGGGGAAAACAGTTTCAAAATACTGTATAAGAAATCGGAATAATCCGTATTTAATTGTCAAAGAAAATGTCAACCCTCATAATTCAGAAAAAAATGCAAGCTTTTCGTGTCGACCAG